CTGGGGCAGGGGAGGAGAATTCTTTATGGCAAAGGATGGCAATTGCTCTAGATCAAAGTTGTCAAAGCTGGAAGTGGGGACAGGGATCATGTAGTCCAGCCTCTTGTTTTCCATATTGAGACCCAGGAGAGGAAGTGACCTGCTCAGATCAAAAAGAGGTTTAGGGCTTCCCTGCGTGGCTCAGTGGTTGAGAGTCCGCCTGCCAAAGCAGGGGACACGGGTTTGTGCCCCGGTCAGGGAAGATCCCACATGCTGCGGAGCGGCTGGGCCCGTGAGCCATGGCCGTTGAGCATGCGCGTCCGGAGCCTGTGCTCCGCAATGGGAGAGGCCACAGCAGTGAGAGGCCCGCATACCGCAAAAAAACAAAAAACAAAAAAAAAAAAAGAGAGAGATATTTAGTGGAAACTCCATGAAAGTATGTGAAAAAGAACATGACAGAAAGCCACACTTTCCAGTAGGTGTGCCCACATTGGAATCTAAACCTTTTAACATTCATTACCTCATTGTCTAGAATTTCCTATGGATTAAAGATACTATACCACCTTACTTAAATGTAACTAATCCTCAGGAAGTGATCAGCTCTGTCTTTGTTTTTAAAATGATTATCTTCTGTTAATTGGCATTTTGCTTTAGATATTTGGTCATCTAACAGCAAGGCAAATTCTACATAATTTTCTGCATAATTTGGCTATGCCAACAGAGACAATATTTCACCTAGCTCAGAATCCTGGGCATAATGTATTGGCACAGCATAGGCACTCAACACAATAGTTAACTTATGCATTGTGGAGGTGGCTATTATAGTCTGATAGACCTGGATACGAGTCCCAGTTCTGTCACTTACTAGCTGTGTGGCCTTGGGCAAGTTATTTCACCTCTGAAACTGTTTCCTTATCTGTGAAATGTGGTGTTGAGTATATATGTGTACGTACACACACACACACACACACACACACACACACACACACACACCTACCTAACTCTAAAATAGTACTTTGCAAGATCCTAAACCCCCAGCATGGTGCATGGCACATGCACTTTTGAAATTCCTTTTTTTTTTTTTTTTTTTCCATGTTAATTGCAGAGTTACTCTTAGGAATCAGCTGAATTGGTATCTAAGATTGTGACAGTCTGGGCATTATCCCTAAGTAATACCTCAAACTGAAAAAAAAATGTGTCTTTGTGATTTTTCAAACCCTATCATTGATGGCTCTCCATTCATGTCCTACCTCCACTGCCTTCTCCTTTCTCTCCCTTTGCCTCAAAGGAAACTATGGAGCCATATAGAAAGCTCCAAAATCAGACTGACCTTATGTACCTTTAATTGAGGACAGAATTTGCTAAAAGTGAGTCCAAAAACCCACCAGTGGTTTACTTTACAATTTGTGTCCTGGCTAGACTGGCTGTTGGCTGTGTAATTTGTCTAGTTTTGTCTGGAGTCTTAGACTATTCAGCTGCTTCAGGGCAAAATCTTTTAGGGTGTCATTAAATGGGATTGATAATTGGCTTCTGATGAATATTCATTGTGACTAATGACTTTGGGCAAATTTTACACATACTATCTTTCTATTCTCCCACTGAGTGAGATTTTGATAGGATCATTTTCCTCAACTTGCACTTCAATTAAATATTCACAATACTCCGTTGTTGACTACAATCCAAATTGTATACTTTCATTACTTTTAAATTTTGTATTCTGTAAGGAATGAGCATAGGCCTTTAGGATCCTTCTTTTTCCTTAATGGGGTTGGTTTTAGAGTTTTGTTTTGTTTTTTTTAAGTAAGTGGCTAATGATAATTTATGGGATGTATGTTATTTCTGATTAAGCATAGATATGTCATAACACTTTTCTGTGGTCCACTTAGCCACTATTTCTAAGAAATGATGCACATTGTTTGTGCTATTTAGTATTTTGGAAAAGAGCCAAACAACTCCTTGATTGTTTTCTTAATCAAATGGGTAAAAGCATTTTACTCCAATTGCAGAGCTTTGGCCCTCAGAAAACCCCACAACGGAAATGATGATCAGTCATCTTAAAAGTTTGATTTTTATGAGGGATAAGTAATTTTAAAACCTCGTCATTTAGCTTGCTAGGGTTTTTCTTTGAGGCTAAGGAGACATGAAAAGAACATTGTCTGAAGATAAGATCTCTGCCACTGTGTCGCTTGAAATAGGATTTTGACTCAAACCAATTTAAGCTAAAAAGAGGCAGGTATTCAAGTTCTCTCTTAACCAGGAACATTCTATTGAATGACTTTTTCAAAGAGAATTACCAATGAATACATGTGATGATGATACCTTACATTTGTATGGCACCATACAGATTTTTAAGTGCTTTTATTTATTTATTTATTGTGTTGTAGAGTTACAGAGTAGGCATATTATTGAATAAGTGGATGGATGAATCCATTGACTTGATTTTCCAGAAGTGGCATATTTGTATGTCTAAGCTTGCTGTTATCGTTTTGGAATTTGAGTCATATATATATATACCCTACTCTGTGAGACTCATGAAAATGTTGGTCCAGTACTATGAAAAGCCAAGCCACTGACTGTCTTTATATTGTGAATATATTCTAAGTGTGAATTGTTTTTTATTTACTCAAGAAACATTGCATTATCTAGCACATATACATACATGCATATGTATACATATATTGTGCCACTGAGCAAAAGAGAGAAGGGTCTTTCTGTACTTGACAGTGAGAGGACAAGCATACAGTCATAGTGCCATTAATAATGGGGGCACATGCCTAGTGGAGCCATGCAAGGCTTTGCAGAGGAAGGTAGTGCACAGAGACCCGGGGCAGGAGGAGTTTGCTAGGGGCACAGATCTGGGCCAGTGGGAATACAGAAGGGAGGAAAAGGAGTACATAACTACTCCTAAATCTGCAAATGATTTATTCCAAGGATAAACTTGGAGGAAATAGTAGAGATTGTGGCTGGAGATGCTTCTCTACAGGTAGACAGGGAACGGGTGAAGAAATGAAGACATGCCTGTTCCAGGTGTGCCCCCAAGTACATTTCCGAGCAGGATGTTACATGAGTGGACCTGCACTTTAGTAAGAGTACTTTGGCAGTTGGTTAATGGATGGGGAGGAAGAGCTGGGGCCAAAGGCCAGGGTAACCCTCCAACCTGACTTGAGGGTGGAGTTGGAGTAAAGTTGGTTCATTTTCCATTCACTCGATACCAGCAAAGATTTTTTATCTCTTCTAAGCCCAAAGAGATTAGTCATGTATACTATGACAGACAGCCTCCGTTATGTTGTAACCTACCGAAATGGGTTGAGAAAAAATGTATTAAACCTACAAGCCTTGGCAGAGTCACTGGGAACTGCTGCTCTTGCGAGCTTGTTGGATAAGCTCCTGTTCATGGCAGGTACCTGATTTAAAGAACAGGGTCTGGAGGGAAAAGGAGGGGGAAAATTAGGCCCTGGATTTAATACACAGCTCTCACAACTGTGAACCATCAGCAGAATATCCAGTTTAAAGCTGTTCATGTTACACTAACCTCTGGGATTCTTTTAACTGGGCCTTGGCGCGTCACTCTTTTGCCACGTAAATGTCCTTCTGTCAGCAAAGGCCAGTTAACAGCTTCCAAAAGAAGCAAAGTCCTCAGGGGAACAGGCTTCCCAGAAACCAAAGAAACATTAAAGAAAAAAGGCAGAAAGAAACATTTGTTGTTGACTTTTGTCACTTCATAGTCCTATCTCCAAAGGTGTTGTTTTTTTCCTTCTTTCACTATGTTGAATTTTCTACCAATTTTATTCCATTGTATCTTTGTTTCCTAATTTTTCTGTTATATCAAATACTGATTGTATGAAGTGTCTAGCTCTTAAGAAAAAAAAGAAATATGAAATAGGGACAAGTCAAAAGAGGAGGGAGTAGAAGGATTAGTCAGTAAACAGTGCTGGAGCGCTTGATTAACTAAGTGGAAAAAATAAATTCTCACCTCACTCCTTAAACCTAAATTAATTCCAGCTGGATTAAAGAGTTAAATGCTGAGGAAAAATTTGGAGGACTTTCTTAGTATAAAAGCAGTGGAAACCATCATGAAGGAAAATATTTGCCCATGTAATTATTTAAGCCTTCGCTTTACCCAAAAATTCAAAGAAAACGAAATAAGGATAAATTATTTTCAAAAACATTGCAAAGGATTACTGTCCTTTGCATATCCAGTATTTGCTTTTAAATCAATTAAAAAATGCTAATTCTCATTAGAAAAAGTGTACTAAGAATATGAACAGACCATTTACTTAAGAAATATAGTTTAGAACATATAACAAGATGTTCAGCTTCAGTCATGATCAGAGAAATAAAAATAAAATGAAGATAGGTACAGTGAGGTACAGGGAGGCCAGCATTCCAGTACATGGGTGGGGGAGTAGAAAGAGCCTCAGTCCTTCTCTATTTATTATATTAATACATTTATTATATTTATTAAGTGCCTTAAAATATTTATAACCTTTGTCTTTAAATTCTGCATCTAGGGACTATATATAAAAATTATTGACCTGATCTGATTATATGAATTAATGATGGAAGAGTGGTTAAATATAGTATGGGAAATTCAGTGAGTGGCATGAAAACATGTTTTCTAAGAATGTTTAAAGATATGGGGAAAATGCTGGCAAATAATGTTAACCTAAGGGCAAATCAACACTGTCTTTCCAGTAATCCTGATTTTTATTAGAAAAATCCATATGCATGTAATACCCCAAAATGTTAAATTATTTTCAGATGGTGAAGACTTTCCTTTTATCCCTTTCTCCATTTTCTAGATTTTTCTACCGTCATTGTGAATTAGCTTCATAATCACGAAAAAAAATACATTTTTTGGAAAAGGAAGCTCTTATTAAATTTGAATTAGGGTCATTGAGTTAACTTATAATTTTAAATATGTTGATAAGTATATATTTAGTTTTATTGCTAAACTCAAATGACAGTGTCTCTTGACTTTAATTGTTTAGCTCTGAATCTCTAATTTGCTTCCGTTGCAGTTGACTGCCTGCATCCATGGGTCTGCTGCTATGCTCTACCCCATGTTCTGGCAGCACGTGTACATCCCCGTCCTGCCTCCACATCTGCTGGACTACTGCTGGTAAGGCCACTGCTTACCCTGTCCTCTGCTTTTCCTTCTCCAGAGAATGACCAGGCAAATTAGGTCTATAACTTGTAAGGCAGTTGGTGACTCTAAATTAAAAATACTAACTTCAAAGTGATCTGAATTTTAGATCACCTGATTGCATGGCCTCTTTGTTTCCAAACAGCTTTTCATATATGTCATGGCATTCTTAAGAGTTCAAGTGAGTAGATAATACCTTTTGCGTTCCTCAGGGTAGGGAAACCAAAGCACCAAGGAGTTGTGTGATTTTTTTTTTTTTCCTAAGACACATTGGAAACTGGTGTCAAGAACAATTGAGATCCCCAAGGTCTTCAAGTTTCAGCCATGCTGTGGCACGTTTTGTAAGACTTGTGCTCAGCTGTGCTTTGAGAGCACAATCCAGCCTTCAAAACTCTCTGAAGTCTTTTGAGGGGAATTTCACTATTCAGTGAAATGTGTTTTAGTGGAAGGAGGGAGGGAAGGAAGAGAGGGGAGAAGGGAGGGAGGGAGGCTGACTTTCTTTAGAGTCAGCTAACCACTTGGGCAAGTCACTTGGCTAAAAGCTTTGTTTTCTCATCTGCAAAATAAAGTTGTTCTATACATAATTATGTGAAGATGAAATGAAATAACGTGAAAGGATACCATGTAGAAAAGCTGGCTCGTAGTAGATACTCAGTAAATGTTCCTGCAGAATCATCATCTTCATCACTATCTGTCTCCAATAGATTAACAAAAAAGACTGTGTGATCTAATGTCCAGTAGATTAACAAAAAAGACTGTGTGATCTAATGTCCTTATAAATAATTTCTTTCTCCAGTGTATTATGATTAAAGACATTATCTCCATACAGCTCAAGTCAGCAGAAGTTGATAAGGGAGCGATACACATGTATAGAAAAGGCTCTGCACTGCCTGCCAGAAATTGAGAGCTTCAGGAGAAAGGGCCCCATTTGAGGGGTCACAGCCCTGTTACTTAAGAACAGATGATTCAGGACATTTACCATTGGTTCAGAGAGATTGAGTCCAGGTCAGTCGTAATTTCTGCCAGGATCTCGAGCCCGTTTTGCAGTCCTCTCAGTGAAAAGGTTCACCCAGGTAGCCAAATTATCCTGGGAATTTAAAGGTATTCAAGAGTCCTTCTCATGTTATGCGTTGGGCTCATCCTCATCCCAAGAAGCCATGGGTTCAGCAAAGATGTAGCTCAGGGCCGTGAAGTGAAGATCAGCGGCCCTCTCTAGTGCATAGCACTAAGTGAATTGGCTCATTTCTCTCTTTAGCGTATATCTTTCTTATCAAGGTGGGTCTCTTTATCCATGCCTTTCTCCTACCTCTCATGAGATTAAAGGGCAATTTCTTTGTATAGATTTGTTGCTTCTTTTGAGCTTCTGAACCAACTCTATTGGTTTTTTCTGCTGTCACGTATCTCAAAGGAAAGGACCGTGTTCTCTATCCAGTTCTCTGTTTGAATGAAAGATTGGGGGGCTGGGCAGAGGCAGACACAGCCGCCAGAGAGGAGGAAAGAGGCAAGGGGAGAGAAAGAACAAGCATACCCAGGGAAGGTGGAAGGGAGATAGAAATAAGAGGTGGGAAAGGGGACATATGTCCCCTAAGACAGACTCACACAGTGACACCCAGTCCCCTTAAGCATAGAAGATCTGCTGACACAGTGCCCCAGCCCTGACATACAGCACCCTTCACAGGCACCCCCCCCTCCACAATACATGGCCCCATACTCACACACACAGACAGAGGTCCCTTCCCTACAGACATGTGCCTCAGGGTCCCCTACACACCTCACCCCAGACATGTGCTCTACGGGGAAACCTTAGAGTTCTCCCTGGAAGAGACTCACCTGTGTGTCTCGATGCTTCATGTAGGGAACACCCAGGGGCTTTTGTGTGCAGGGATTGGTGGAGCTGAGAAAGTCATTGGAGTCCCTCTGCCTCCCTAATGGTACAGCTTTCACTTTCCGTTATTTGGAAGGTTTCAGTTGCCAAATTGTTAGCTAGTTGAAAACCAGCAGCTTAGAGCCCCAAAACTATGGAGAAGAAAATGCTCTGTCAGTAACATCAGTGATAACAATAGTTGCCACTGCTGAATCTCTCCTTTGGCCCCCCACTCGTTGGACCATCTCCTTACATCTGTGATCTCATTTAATTCTTTCAGCAACCCTGTAAGGCAGGTATTATTAGCTCCATTTCATAGGTCAGTAAACCGAGGCCCCTAGAGGCTTAATAACTTACCGTAAAACAGATGTTATATATGTATAATTCCATTTTTACAAAAACAAACAAAAATTATGTGTATATATAACACAAAAATTAGATACACACACACACACACACACACACACATACATACATACATATAGAGAGGCAGAAATGTGAAAGGAAATACACCAAAATGTTAACAGTGATTTGTGTTGGGGAGGAGGGGAGGAATTCCACATGATCTTTATTTTCCATGCTTTCAAATATTTCTGTCGACACAATGAAAAAGTATAGTATAGTTTTTTTATAATTGAAAAGTTTCAAAAGTTTAAGAAAAAAATCAATGTTTATTCTGGCCAGTTGTTCTTTACAGCTGCCATCTCAGGTCGCAGCCCTCCTTTCTTGTTTGCTTAGAGGATTTATTAGCTGTT